TTTTATGGAGCTTAAACTCAAAACATGCTTGTGCTGATGTTTGTCTGTCCAATATTCACTAACTCAATATTCAGTTATCTTAACTGCAACTCACTTTTTCTTATGGCCACTTTTCATTTTGTTGTTCCTGTTTGCACAAAATACCCTGCGGGAATTGAAATGTGGCCTGAACCTGTGAAGATCTGATATCCACACACCACTCTTCTCCATACTATAAGCACCATACAAAATATGGAGGCGTTTGTTTTATTTTTTGTTACGTTACTCGTGGATGGTGAGTAGATTTTTAAATGGTTTTTGATACTTAAATATCTAAAAATGATTTGAATTTAATATAATATTAACATATTCAATTTCTGAAGTAATGTTTTGATCTGTTTTATGGAGCTTAAACTCAAAACATGCTTGTGCTGATGTTTGTCTGTCCAATATTCACTAACTCAATATTCAGTTATCTTAACTGCAACTCACTTTTTCTTATGGCCACTTTTCATTTTGTTGTTCCTGTTTGCACAAAATACCCTGCGGGAATTGAAATGTGGCCTGAACCTGTGAAGATCTGATATCCACACACCACTCTTCTCCATACTATAAGCACCATACATTATGACTATAATAATCCTTAAACAAGACTCAGTGATCTCAGTTGAATTTGTTCAGCTTAAATCTCTAAAACGGTCTCTCTTCTGCAGGTGTGTTTGGTTATACGGATGAAGTGAAGTCAGTGATGGAGGGAGATTCTGTCACTTTATATACTGATCTTACTGAAATACAGAAAGCTGATCTGATACTGTGGACGTTTGGGTCTGACAACACTCGAATAGTTCAAATCAACAGAATGGCCAATAAGATCTCATTATATGATGATGCTCTTGACGGGAGATTCAGAGACAGACTGAAGGTGGATCATCAAACTGGATCTCTGACCATCACAGACACCACAACTCAACATACTGGAGTTTACAGATTTTTACAGATCATTGATGGAAAAGAGGTGCTGCCCAAGAAATTCCGTATTATTATTTCCGGTGGGTAGTTTTCGCGATGCATTCAGTTTGATTTTATTGCATCACATTATGTATCCATTATAGACTTTATTCTCTCATGTTTTCCAGCTCATCTGCCTGTTCCTGTCATCAGCAGAAACTCTTCTCAGTGTTCTTCACCATCAGGATCATCAGCGTCCAGATGTGTGCTGCTGTGTTCAGTGTTGAATGTGAGTCATGTGGCTCTCTCCTGGTACAAAGGAAACAGTTTATTGTCCAGCATCAGTGTGTCTGATCTCAGCATCAGTCTCTCTCTACCTCTGGAGGTGGAATATCAGGATAAAAACAGCTACAGCTGTGTGCTCAACAATCCCATCAGCAACCAGACCACACATCTGGACATCACTCAACTCTGTCACACATGTGCAGGTATGGCAGCGCTTTTTCACAGAGCTGGTCATATTCACGTAAGTCAATAACAATTTTTAGCAGTTCCGATGCTGATACAGTATCTCTCTTTCCATCATAGCACCAGGTTTGTCCACAGGTCATATAGCGCTGGTTTGTGCTTGTGCTCTGGCTGTGGCTGCAGTTTTGTGTGGTATTTATTATTACTGCCAGCGCAAGACGCGTAAAAAGGCAAGATAAAGGCGGTACGTTTTACTTGTAGATAATTTAAAAGAAAAAAATAAGAGTGCAAAGTATTGTTTTGTAAGAAAGTTTGCATTTACTTCTTCATAATTGTTTAAATTACGCCATTCTTTTTTTTTTACAGATGAACCTGACGGAGAGGAACTCAAGAGCCTAAAAGGTGAGATACAATTTAACTATGTGTACAGATTCTTGTGTTTTTGCTGTAGCTTCATTCTTTCCACTGTGACATTAAACGTCATCACAAAAAACTTGAAAGTTATAATATTATAGTCAGTGCTGGGGAAAAGTAATGCATTACAATATTGCGTTACTCCATTAAAAAGTAACTAACTGCGGTACTTAATTACTGTTCATGTAAAGTAAGACATTGCATTACTTTTGCCTTAGTTTTTGTCTCTGGGCTTGCGTATATATTTTTTAATAACAAAAAAGCCAAAAGTTATATTTTTGTCAACTGTAAAAGCCCTTTCATGAATAAGCCTCAGACTGAAGGAAGTGCCTCTGCTCTTATTCCCAATTTCTTCCAACATGGGGACAGTCAATAAATGTGAAAAAAAGTACCTTGCATTACTTATTTAATAAAGTAACTCAGATATTTCATTGTTTCATGTGTTACTTTATTAGTTACTTGAAAAAAGTAATCCGATTACATAACTCGCATTTCTTGTAATGTGTTACCCCGACACTGATTATAGTTATGGGTGACAAAAGATTTAATTGAATCAAGTCATGTGATTTTTATTAAAGGTGTAGTTCCTGGAAACAATGGAGACGTTCATCAGCCAAACCATGGTACGATACTGCATTACTGAATCTCTCTGGGTGTTTGTGTTCATTTAAATCAGCATCGAGATTGATATCTGTGTTTTCAGCAGATGGGGAAACGTCTAATGAGGACAGACATTCAAAAAATGGTAAGTTACTGTACAGCTTTGTGTACCTTGCATGACAGATACAATGGTGCCATATAATTAAGGCTATGATTTTGGTTAAAACAGGTGCAGTTCCTTTGTTAGCTGTTGAGGTAGATGGTAAGATATCATGTGGTAATATGTTGTTAATATTGCAGATTATTGTTGTGAAGCAAATTAGTTCAGAAACAGTTAAAAATTGAAACTGGCAAAGTTTATCCCAACTAAAATATTTAAAACATGTTTTTTTTTTTAATCAATTTGTTTAAATCAACTTTTTAAAAATGTTTTTTTTCTTGGTTATGCAAATGTTAAAGGAAACATTTAGGGAATAGTCCATGTATTTTATAATTTTGCAAACATTATGAAAATGTTACTTTTGAATGTTATCTGATCCATGAAACTAGTTATGTATGTACTCTGAACTTTTAAAACACCTGTTGTTATTTTTTTAATGTTTAAGAAACCATTTTTGTTGGTTACGAAAACATTAAGGAAATGATACATTTTATAATTTAGCAAACATTAGCAAACGTATCTTAATTTTGAATGCTCTCTGAACCATGAAACTAGCAAGTAGTTATTTCTGAATGTTCTCTGGACTTTTAAAATATCCAGTTTGTTAAATGTCATTCGATCATTCGAGAAAACATTGAAGGAACACTGAACGAACATTCTATTAACGTTACTGGAAAAATAATTGTTTATAACTTAGTTTATAACTCTAAGAATGTTCCCCGTTATCTAAAACCAGAGTATAAGGTGAGGGTGAGCAGAAAACTGGATGATCTGGTTTATATTTTGTTCTCAGGTGAAGGGTGTGACTGAGACACAGCATGGGTTGTAACAAACACACTCTAGCATAAGTGCACCGGTTTTTTTTTTGGTTTTTTTTTTTAGAATAATCCTTTACTATGTAAAGATATGCCATATTTTCCAATATATATGTATCATTTATAGTTTAATTTATAAAGACCCAATTCATACTCTGAAAAAATATTTTTCATTAATTTATTTAATTATTTAAAAATATAAATGTGTAAAATATTATTGGAAAATATTTTGCTTCTATTACATTGCTCATTTTTTGTCACTATAATAGTCACTATAATACTGTGCTATTATATGTTTTATTTATTTTAAATATATTTTTATGGTTTATTTAGTGTTATATTTTATTTTAATTTTTACACTGTTTTCTCTGAACTTCTTTCCCTTGCGGATCCCAGTTTGAAAACCCCTGCGATAGACCTTAATGAGGTTAGACACCATAGTGAATTTAACATGGTTGAAATCGAGGCTGTGAGGGAAAGACTTAAGCCCCGTTCACACCAAGAACGATAACTATAAAGATAAAGATATTAGCGTCCACAGCGAATGATATCGTCTGTTTATTCTAAGCACAAATGCGTCTGCCGCATTAAATTCTCAAGCTCGTTACAGCAGGATGGATTCTGATTGGCTGTCAATTTTTTTATCGTTCATCAGCTGGAGAAAAATCTTTTGAAAGTGATTCCAACGATATCGTTTCTCTTTGTCTTTATCGTTATAGTTGTGGTGTGGACTCTGCTATTCTTTAAGAGAACGATTGATTTTTAGAACTATATCTTTATCGTTATC